ATCCTGGGACCCAAAAATACCCCAAAAACCTGAGATCGTGGCGGTGAGTGGGACCCCGAAAGAACCCAAAACCACCCCAAAATACCCCAAAAACATCCTGGAACCCAAAAATACCCCAAAAACGCCCCGAGAATACCCAAAAATACCCAAAAACCCGAGATCGTGGCGGTGAGCGGGACCCCGAAATACCCCAAAAACATCCTGGAACCCAAAAATACCCCAAAAACGCCCCGAGAATACCCAAAAATACCCAAAAACCCGAGATCGTGGCGGTGAGAGGGGGGCACGGACCCCAAAATACCTCAAAATACCCCAAAAGTATCCTGAAACACCCAAAAATACCCCGAAAATGCCCCCAAAATACCCAAAACCCCGAGATCGTGGCGGTGAGCGGGACCCCGAAATACCCCAAAATACCCCAAAAGTATCCTGAAACACCCAAAAATATCCAAAAACGCCCTGAAAATACCCAAAACCACCATGAAAATACCCAAAAATACCCAAAAACCCGAGATCGTGGCGGTGAGCGGGACCCCGAAATACCCCAAAACCACCCCAAAATACCCCAAAAATACCCTGAAAACACCCAAAATGCCCTGAAAACACCCAAAAATACCCAAAAATACCCAAAAACCCGAGATCGTGGCGGTGAGCGGGGGGCATGGACCCCAAAATACCCAAAACACCCAGAAAATACCCCAAACCACCCCAAAATATCCAAAAATACCCAAAAATACCCAAAAACCCGAGATCGTGGCGGTGAGCGGGGGGCACGGACCCCAAAAAGACCCCGAAAATATCCCAAAACACCCAGAAAATACCCCAAACCACCCCAAAATACCCCAGAATACCCAAAAATACCCCAAAACCCGAGATCGTGGCGGTGAGGAGGACCCCGAAAATGCCCCAAAATACCCTGTGGCGGTGAGCGGGGGGCACGGACCCCCAAAAGACCCCAAAAATATCCCAAAACACCCAGAAAATACCCCAAACCACCCCAAAATACCCCAGAATACCCAAAAATACCCCAAAACCCGAGATCGTGGCGGTGAGGAGGACCCCGAAAATGCCCCAAAATACCCCAAAAACATCCTGGGAACAAAAAATACCCCAAAACCACCCCGAAAATACCTCGAAACACCCAGAAAATACCCTGAAAGTACCCCAAACCACCCCAAAAATACCCCAAACACCACGAAAATACCCAAAAATACCCAAAAACCCGAGGTCGTGGCGGTGGGGGGGGGGGCAGAGACCCCGAAAACATCATGGGAACCCCAAAACCAGCCCTGGGACCCCAAAAATGCCCTGAAACCATCCCAAAAAACCCCAAGGGTCCCCCAAAATCCCCCCAAAAACCCCAAAACCCCCCCCAAACCCCCGAAAATCCCCCTAAAAACCCCAAAACCAAGGTGTGACCAAGGTGTCACTATGGAGTGTGATGAGAAGCTGCTCAAGGTGCGTCCCAAAGTGTCCCCGAACTGTCCCCAAGGTGTCCTTAAAGTGTCCCCAGGGTGTCATCAAAGTGTCCCCAAGGTGTCCCCAGAGTGTCCCCAAGGTGTCCCCAAGGTGTCATCAAGATATCCCCAAAAAGTCCCCAAGGTGTCACCAGGGTGTCATCGTAGAGTGTGATGAGAAGCTGCTCAAGGTGTGTCCCCAATGTCCCCAGTCCCCTCAATGTCCCAAATGTCCCTGATTGTCCCCAAATGTCCCCAAATGTCCCCAGGTGCTGGACCGGCTGCTGCTGTACCTGCGCATCGTGCACTCGGTGGATTACTACAACACCTCCGAGTACCCCAACGAGGACGAGATGCCGAACCGCTGCGGGATCATCCACGTGCGGGGCCCGCTGCCGCCCAACCGCGTGTCCCACGGCGAAGGTGAGACAAAAAAACCCCAAATTTACCCCAAAAAAACACCCCGAAACCAACCGCGTGTCCCAAGGGGAAGGTGAGGCAAAAAAAACCCAAAATAACTCAAATTTACCCCAAAAAAATACCCCGAAACCAACCGCGTGTCCCATGGGGAAGGTGAGGCAAAAAAACCCCAAAATAACTCAAATTTACCCCAAAAAAACTGTCCCGAAGCCAAGCGCGTGTCCCACGGGGAAGGTGACCCCAAAAAACCCCAGATTGACCCCAAAAAACCCCAAATTCACCCCAAAACCCGTCCCCAGTGGCCGAGTGGCAGCGCAGGTTCGAGGCGCGCCCGGCCCCGCTGCAGGGACCCCAAACCCCGTTCTTACCCCGTTTTTACCCCGTTTTTACCCCATTTATGCCATTTTTGCGGGGTTTTTTTTGGGATTTCACCCATTCCCAGTTCTCCCAGTAACCCCAGTGTCCCTTTGTCCCCTGTCCCCAGTGGCCGAGTGGCAGCGCGGGTTCGAGGCGCGCCCGGCCCCGATCCCACTGACCCCAAATCCCATTCTTACCCCGTTTCTGCCCCATTTATGCCATTTTAACGGGGTTTTTTCGGGGTTTTTTGCCATTTTTGGCCATTGCCAGTTCTCCCAGTAACCCCAGTGTCCCTTTGTCCCCTGTCCCCAGTGGCCGAGTGGCAGCGCGGGTTCGAGGCGCGCCTGGCCCCGCTGCAGTGACCCCAAACCCCGTTCTTACCCCGTTTCTCTCAGTTTTATGCCATTTTTATGGGGTTTTTTTTGGGATTTTCCCCATTCCCAGGTCTCCCAGAATCCCCAGTGTACCTTTGTCCCCTGTCCCCAGTGGCCGAGTGGCAGCGCGGGTTCGAGGCGCGCCTGGCCCCGATCCCACTGACCCCAAACCCCGTTCTTACCCCATTTCTGCCCCATTTATGCCATTTTAACGGGGTTTTTTCGGGGTTTTTTGCCATTTTTGGCTATTCCCAGTAACACCAGTAACCCCAGTGTCCTGTCCCCAGTGGCCGAGTGGCAGCGCGGGTTCGAGGCGCGCCTGGCCCCGCTGCTGGCCGGCCCCGGCGCCGTCCCCGAGGAGGAGGCGCAGCGCCTCGGCCGCAAGGACCCCGAGCAGGAGCTCGAGAAGTTCGTCAGCGCCAACACCCAGGAGCTGGGCAAGGACAAGTGGCTGTGCCCCCTCAGCGGGAAAAAGTTCAAGGTGGGGACACCTTGGGGACATTGGGGACACTGTCAGGGTCATTGGGGACACCCTGGGGACATTGGGGACACACAGGAACCATTGGGGACACACAGGGACACCCAGGAGCTGGGCAAGGACAAGTGGCTGTGCCCCCTCAGCGGGAAAAAGTTCAAGGTGGGGACACCTTGGGGACATTGGGGACACCTTGGGGACATCCTGGGGACATTGGGGACAGGTTTGGGACACACAGGGACACCCAGGAGCTGGGCAAGGACAAGTGGCTGTGCCCCCTCAGCGGGAAAAAGTTCAAGGTGGGGACATTGGGGACACCTTGGGGACATTGGGGACACCTTGGGGACATTGGGGACACCTTGGGGACACCCTGGGGACATTGGGGACAGACAGGAACCATTGGGGACACGCAGGGACAGGCAGGAGCCGGGCAAGGACAAGTGGCTGTGCCCCCTCAGCGGGAAAAAGTTCAAGGTGGGGACATTGGGGACACCTTGGGGACATTGGGGACACCTTGGGGACACCCTGGGGACATTGGGGACAGACAGGAACCATTGGGGACACGCAGGGACAGGCAGGAGCTGGGCAAGGACAAGTGGCTGTGCCCCCTCAGCGGGAAAAAGTTCAAGGTGGGGACATTGGGGACACCCTGGGGACACCCTGGGGACATCCTCGGGGTCATTGGGGACACACAGAGACAGGCAGGGACACCCAGGAGCTGGGCAAGGACAAGTGGCTGTGCCCCCTCAGCGGCAAGAAGTTCAAGGTGGGGACACTGGGGACACCTTGGGGACACCTTGGGGACATTGGGGACAATGGAGAGTTGATGTCCCCAATCCTGTTAATGTCCCCAAACCTCCCAGTGTCCCCTGGCTGTCCCCAAATGTCCCTTTGGTGTCCCCAAATGTCCCCGGTGTCCCCAGGGCCCCGAGTTGGTGCGCAAGCACATCTTCAACAAGCACGGGGACAAAATGGGCACAGTGACCCCAATGTCCCCAGATGTCCCCAAATCCCGTCAGTGTCCCCAATCCCCTGGGTGTCCCAAACCTCTCAGTGTCACCTCGATGTCCCCAAATGTCCCCGGTGTCCCCAAATGTCCCCTGCTGTCCCCAGGGCCCCGAGTTCGTGCGCAAGCACATCTTCAACAAGCACGGGGACAGGATGGGCACAGTGACCCCAATGTCCCCAGATGTCCCCAAATCCTGTCAGTGTCCCCCATCCCCTGGCTGTCCCCAATGCCATGAATGTCCCCAATGTCCCCTGGTGTCCCCAGGGCCCCGAGTTCGTGCGCAAGCACATCTTCAACAAGCACGGGGACAAGATGGGCGCCGTGCGCAAGGAGGTTTTGTTCTTCAACAACTTCCTGATGGGGCACCGCCCACCCGGGGACTCCGCGCCTTCTTTGGGGGGAATTCCCGGGATTTTGGGACAATTTTGGGACAATTTCGGGTGAATTTTGAGGTTTTTCGGGCTCGAGGAGGGCGTGGCCAAACAGAGGCACCGCCCCATGACGTAACGCACTCGTGACTGCAACTCGATCGTTTATTGGCTCTTGATTCCGGCACCGCGGCCAATCAGCACCGAGGCCACGCCCCTCAGCCAATCACAAGCGAGGCGGCGCGCTATTGGCTGTCGCCCAGCAACAGCCGTGACGTCACCGGAGTGTATCGCCGCGACCAATCAGCGGCGAGGGCGCCACAGGGAGCGCTCTCATTGGGCCAATGGGGAGCGGGGGGAGGAGCTTCGGGCGGTTCTTAAAGGGGCAGCGCCCACGGGGGAGGGGCGACCCCCGCGTGACCCCGGGAGCCACTTCCGGTCGGTTTCCAGGGGGTTTTGATGATTTTTGTCCATTTTCGATTATTTTTGTCCATTTTCGATGATTTTTGTCCATTTTTGACTTTTTTTTGTCTGGTTTTGCCCGTTTTTGTCCATTTTTTCCCCATTTCCGTCCCTAGAGGGCCATGGTGGCCCAGCCCAGGATGAGCAGGGTCGATTTTCAAGCAATTTTTCACTATTTCTGTCCATTTTTGCTCGTTTTTCCTCCATTTTCGATCCCGGGAGCCACTTCCGGTCGGTTTCCAGGGGGTTTTGATGATTTTTGTCCATTTTTGATGATTTTTCCTCCATTTTCGATGATTTTTCTCCATTTTTGACGTTTTTTGTCTGGTTTTTCCCGTTTTTGTCCATTTTTTCCTCATTTTCAGCCCCTAGAGGGCCACGGTGGCCCAGCCCAGGATGAGCAGGGTCGATTTTTATACGGATTTTTATGATTTTTGTCCATTTTCAATGATTTTTCCTCCATTTTTGATGACATATTCTCAATTTTTGCTGATTTTTTGTCCGTTTTTGCCCGTTTTTGTCCATTTTTTACGTTTTTGTCCATTTTTTCCTCATTTTCAGCCCCTAGAGGGCCACGGCGGCCCAGCCCAGGATGAGCAGGGTCGATTTTCAGGCGGTTTTTCATCATTTTTATCCATTTTCATTCATTTTTGGTCCATTTTTGATGAGTTTTTGATCATTTTTTCTCCATTTTTGACTTTTTTTTCCCGTTTTTTCCCGTTTTTGCCCCATTTCAGCCCCTAGAGGCCCGTTTTTGTCCATTTTTTACCCATTTTCCATCCCTAGAGGGCCATGGCGGCCCAGCCCAGGATGAGCAGGGTCGATTTTCAGGCGGTTTCTGACGATTTCTGTCCATTTTTGCTCATTTTTCCTCCATTTTGACGATATTGTCTCCATTTTTGCTGATTTTTTGCCCGTTTTTTCCCGTTTTTGCCCCATTTCAGCCCCTAGAGGGCCATGGCGGCCCAGCCCAGGATGAGCAGGGTCGATTTTCAGGCGGTTTTTGACGATTTCTGTCCATTTTTGCTCATTTTTCCTCCATTTTGACGATATTGTCTCCATTTTTGCTGATTTTTTGCCCGTTTTTTCCCGTTTTTGCCCGTTTTTCCCCCATTTTCCATCCCTAGAGGGCCATGGCGGCCCAGCCCAGGATGAGCAGGGTCGATTTTCAGGCGGTTTCTGACGATTTCTGTCCATTTTTGCTCGTTTTTCCTCCATTTTTGTGATATTTTCTCCATTTTTGCTGATTTTTTGTCCGTTTTTGCTGATTTTTTGCCCGTTTTTTCCCGTTTTTGCCCGTTTTTCCCCCATTTCATCCCCTAGAGGGCCATGGCGGCCCAGCCCAGGATGAGCAGCGTCCCCCCCAGCGGCGCGGCGCGGTTGAGTTTGGGGTCCCCGGTGAGGCCGTGGAAGTAGAGGGGGCCGCAGAAACAGCCCAGCCCCGCCAGGAGCAGCGAGCCGGCCTGGGGGATTTGGGGGAAAATGGGGGATTTTGGGAAAAATTGGGGATTTTGGGAGAAATTGGGGATTTTGGGAAAAATTGGGGGGGATTTGGGGGATTTGGGAGGGAACTGGGGAGAATTCGGGGAGATTTTTGGGGAAATTTGGGGATCAAGGGGGAATTTGGGGGGATTAGGGGGAAATTAGGGTGAGTTGGGAGGGGTTGGGGGAGATTTTTGGGGAAATTTTGAGGGTTTAGGGGA